GGGGGGGGGGGCGGGGTGCAGCTTGCTGCGCGGCGCAGCTTGCTCCGCCTCCGCACGCGTCGCCGATGCGCCTGCTGCACGGCAGCCAGCTGCACAAACAGGCCTGCAGCCGCGCCCGCGCCCGGCCCAGGAGCGCCGCGTCGATGCTTGATCCTTTGCCCCGCCCCTCAGGGACAATCGGGACGCGACATACATCACGTCGTGGCCTTTAGTCAGCCTGGACCGCCCCGGTCAGCGGCTGGTCCTGGCGGGCGTCAACCACGCCGCATCAGGGACAGCCAGCTTCTGCAACGGTGAGGGGTGCTTACGGGGCCGGGCCGCTCCGGGCCCGCCCACAGCTCGCCGCTGCTGTGCTGCTGTCGTGCTGTGCTGCTGTCCTGCTGCGTTGCTTCTCTGCTGCGTTGCTTTTTTGCTTCGTCGCCATCAATATTTGTGGATTAGTGCTGTCACGGCACCGCTCTGAAAGAAGCCCAAGAAGATGCACCATGTGGGTTGCACGCCTTTCGCCGCCTCAATCGTGCATCTGCGCCCATGCAGTGGTGGAATCAGCCACCTCTCGAGGATGGAATCGCGCCTGGACGTCAGAGCCGCCGCACACACAGCTGGCCCACCAAACTTCACCAGCACCTGGCGGCACATCTGACCCTCAGGCATTATCCCGTTCATTGAGCTCTGGGCTGCACACCGTCCGCTGGCAAATTCCTCCTCACACACACACACACACACACACACACACACACACACCGGCAGCTACAACCCTCACACCGCCCTTGCAGTTGCGCTGACGGACCCAATCCAGCGGCGCGGCCTGACCGCCTTCGAGGACACCGGGCTGGTCGGCAGCGCGGACCGCTTCCTGAAGGGCACCCCCTACGAGTGGGCGTCCCCGCTGCTCTTCGCGGTCACCTTCAGCCGCGACTGCACAGGCAAGCGGCCGGCGAGCGTGGCCTGCCGCGCGTACAAGCATACCCCCCTTCCGCTCCCGCCAGTAGTCGCAGTCTCGACGGCGGCGCGCCCGCATCGCAGGGGACACTGCCTTGATGGTCTGGAAAGTGTTGGCTGAGGGCGCCGCGAGCAGGGGCCCCGCTGCGCCTGGCAGGCTTGAAGCCCCAGCTGCCGCTGCAAAGCAGGACCCGACCCCCTGCCCCTGCACCCGTCGGTACTGCCGCAGGCATCCCATACTGCCTCGGCGTCGAGGCGGCGCCGCCCGGCGGCGTCAACGCGACTGGCGGCGCGCCCGGCGCCCCGCCGCCGCCCGCGGCGGCCCCGCAGGGGTCGTTCCTGCCATCCCCGCTGCTGCTTATCGGCCGCGCCTACGCAAACCCCGCCACCGGCGTCGGCCCCGCGGGCGCGTCATTACTCACATTTCACTCCATGGTGATGACGCCCGCTGACGTGGCGCTGCCCGGCGACTCGCGGCCCAGATACGACTATCGGATATTTGCGACAGAGCCCGGAAAGATCGGCGGGCTGGAAGGCGGCGCGGCGGGGTCCGCGGCCGCGGCGACTGCCGCCGTGGCGCGGCAGGCGGGGGCGGCGGCGCCGCCGGGGGCGTGCGTGAGGAGCGTGGTGGGGATGGCGCAGTGCGCGTCGGGTTCGTGGCAGGCCTGCTGCGAGATGTTGCAGGGGTGAGATGTTTGGGGGGTTGAGGTGTCTCGGGGGTTGAGGTGTCTCAGGGGTTGAAATATTCTGGGGGTTGAGATAGTCCGGGGGTTGAGATATGTTTGAGGTTGAGATGGTTTTGGGGGTTGAGAGGCGCGCGATCGCGGGCGCGGGCGTCGGCATCGCGCGTGGGGCCGGGAAGGGGGTGTGTGGCTTGCTGGGGTCGACTCAGTGGTCGAGCTGACGGGGCGTAGTTGGGCGGCTGTGTGCAGGCCCTGGGGGCACCATGCATGGGGAGGGGGAGCCGCATCCCAAAGCCCCCGGCCGTAGGGTGGTGTGACGCAGCGTCAGGAACAGCGCGCTGGCGCCGCCTCTCGTTGCAGGTTGACGGGCCCGGCCGACCGACCGACCAACAACCGCGTGTCCAAACCGCTCCATCTCTGCCGCAGGTGGGCGGCCGCGGGCTGCTGGTGCAGCCAGGAGGGGGACGTGCTGCTGGGCTCCATGCCGGCGGTGCTGGGCCGCGCGGTGCTGTCCGCCCTCTCGGCCAGCTGCGGCCTGCCGCAGGCGCCGCGGACTTGCCCGGCACGCTACGGCGGGTGAGTTGCCGCGCGGGGCGCCGCGTGGCGGCGGCACGGGCCCGCGCCGCGCTTCCGCCTGCCACGCGGTCTGCTGTCTGTCGTATTTGTTCTGTTGTGAACCGCAAAGCATCCAAGCTGCGCCCACAGCACAGCATTGTGAGCCGCTGCGACGCTTGTCCAAGATTCTTGATGAACATCAGCTGTGCTGGCATCGCCCTTCAAGACCAATCTGCCCTGTGGCTGTGAGAAATTTCCGCGTTTGGCTTATCGTCACCATTCGTCGAGTATGTAAAGGCTATTACAGGGGGCAGGTCTGAGGCCGCAGGGGATAATCCTGGAGGGGGTGCTCCCCTACTTGCAGCACCTGAGCGCCACGCTCCGAGCTGCTGCTGGCCAGAGGCGGGCGTGGGCCCCCGTACCCTGGGCGCATGGGCAACAGGGTTGGCGCAGTGTGCCAGGCAAGGCAGCTGCGAGACGACGCGCGTTCCTGAAATGTAATGGACCGTTGCACGCGCGCAAAACATCTACAGCACATGGCCCGCGCAACAGGAGGTGCCCGTTCCCTGCGAACGCGGACGCGTGCGCTCCTGACGCGCACAGCGTAAGCGCTCCGACTGGGCAGCCTCCGCGCACGACGCATGGCGCAGGAGGCCGTGTCGCACCCACCACAAGCACTGACAGACCAGGAGATGTGAAGCCAAGAGGGGTTTGAAACAATCGCCGCCGCAGAAGAGCTTGCAGCCCTGCTGCCACTAGTGCATCCAGCCGCACGCAGCCCTCGGTTAAAGTTCAATCATTTTCGAAAGATCAATCTCTCATCAACCGCTCCCATGACAAAACCCGTCACTCCCTCTAATCCTTCTCCTCTTCCTCTGCCGCCGCCGCCGCCGCGCGCGCCTGCGCGCCAGCCGCGATCGCCGCCTTGAGCTCATCCCCCCAGCCCAGCAGCGCCGCCAGCTGGCGCGCCGCCACGTCAGCGTCCCCCAGGTGCATCGCGTCGCGCGCGTTGTGCGGCAGACCAAAGTCGAACCCGCCGCTCGCGCCGCTGCCGCTGCTGCTGTCGCTGCTGCCGCTCACGTCGCTCTCGCAGCCGCTGTCAATGCCGTCGGCGCCGGCGCCGGCGGTCGGGCGGGCGGCGTCGTCGTCGGAGACCGTGCCGGCTGCGTTGTTCGCCTCATCGCTGGCACCGCTCGGGGACGGGCTGCCGCCGCCGCCGCCGCCGCTGGCGCAAGCGCGCAGCTTCCGCCGCGCCTCCTCCTCGCGCCGCCGCCGCTCGAGCGCCTTTGCGGCGCGGCTGTGTCCGACGCGCTCCCGGTTGATCAGGAGGCGCGGCACGTCGGGTGCCACGTCGCCTGGGCGGGCGGTGGGGGGGGGGGCGGTTGGTTGCGCGAGGACGGCGGCTGAGCTGCAGTGAGGTGATAGGCACGTGCGACGTGATGACACGCACGCACGCACACGCCCCTGTGCGCGGCCAGCTGCAGGCAAACACTAACGCAGCGTCGCCGCAACGCCGCGCCAGCGGACAGCCCCACCTATCATGGACGCAAACGGCTGCACCACGAGGCTGGTGCCCATCACGATCAGCAGGTCAGCCCGGGGCATGTCCTCCGCGCGCCGCCGGTGGAACCGCGCCGGCAGCGGCTCTCCAAAAAACTAAGAGGGGCAGAAGGGGAGGGGGCGGGTGGACAATTGGCTGCGTCGGTGCGGACCCCGGTCGGGCCCGGGGCGCGGTGCACGCGTGGGCGCCTCAGCCGCAGGGCGCGCCGGCGGTGCCAGGGGCGGACACAACGCGGCGCGGCGCAGCGTGCGCAGCGCGGCGCAGCACGGCGCGGCGTGGCGCGGCGAGCTCGGCGCCGAGCATGAGCACATGGGCAGGCGCTGGGCTGCGGCGGTGGAGGCGGGCGGCGGCGCGGGCCGCTGGGGGTCGCACCACGATGTCGGGCTTGACCAGCCCGCCGCACGCGTCGCAGGCGCAGACGCCGTCGTCGTACACCGCCGCCTGCACGGCGTACATGCTGGCCGGCCGCTTGCAGTCGATGCAGTGCGCAGCTGCCAGGGGCGGGGACAGGAGAGTGGCGGGCGGCGGCGGCGCGGGTGAGTCCGTGAAGAGAGGTCAAATAACGGCGCCCGAAGCGAGGGGCGGCGCGGACGTTGTAGAGCAGACGCGCGCCCGGCAAACGGCTCCGCAGCACGCGCAGGGCCGAGGCGCCGCCTGGTCGCCGTCCCGCGCGCCTCCACGCCACCCCATCTTGTCTCCTTATCTCATGAAACATGCATATTCGATAGCAAATGCGGTGATTGAGCGGGGCCACCTACAATCAAAGCTGCCGTGCGCAGCGACGACCCTGTCCGCTGGCACCCCAGCCAGCTGCTCCAGTCCGTCAATGTTCTGAGTGAACACCCGCAGCAGCAGGCCGCGCTCCGACAGCAGGCGCAGCAGAAAGTGGGCCGGCGTCGGCGCGTAGCCGCCGGGGAAGAGCTCCTGCGGGGCGGGGGCGAGCGGGCGCGGTTGCGGTGCTTGGGACGACGGCGACGCTAGGCGCGCGCGTTTGGGAGGGGCACGGCGCCGTTTGATCCTGGGGCCATGCCGCCCGGTTCTCGCACAGTGCAGCATCTTTTGTCCCTGCTCCGTGCCCCCGATGCGCCTGCCCCGTCTCCACGCTTACTTCTTTTGAGGCGCACGCCCTTACACAGCCACACGCGCACACACGCACATGCACACACGCACACACGCACACACGCACGCACAAACACACACGCACATTCACACAGAAACATGTCCATCCCTCCACCATTTCAACACCACTGACCTTTGCAAGAGTATAGAAGGGCTTCGGGTCGCGCCGAAAGAAGTCGATGGAAAACACCGCCTCGGGGTATGGCAGGCGGTACCGCTGCAGCTGGCTGTACAACCCCGTGCCTGTGGAAGATGGACGGGCGCGGCGCACGGTACACAGGGGCAGCAGCGGAGGGGCAAGGGGGTGAGGGGCGGGGGCGAGAAGGGCGGGGAGCGCGTGCAGCGCATCTGTAGGGGTGAGGGTGGGTGCGACTGCGTATGGGCCGACGCGCCAGGCGGTCCAAGAGGCTGCGGACCATGCAAGAGCTTCCAAGGGAGGCTATCAGCGGCGGCGGCGCTGCCCAAGGCAGCCCCCCGCGAATGGGCATGGCAGCGCCGCGGCGGGGGGCGGCCGTCGACGTGGCGAGCAGCGCGCACGCCGCATGGCCCGGCTTCGAATCTCCGCCGCTCGCCGCCGCCGTCTGATCCGATGCCGCTGTCGCTCTGCCCTCTGCTCGTTTCAGGATCAGAGCCGCACACACGCACGTGCACGACGACAGCGCCCAGGCCGCCCTCCCGGCTGCCGCTGCTCGCACCTGGGGTCCTGAAATCTGGAATCCCAGCAGACACACTGATGCCCGCGCCGGCCATGACCACGATGTTGCGCGCGCGGCCACTCAGGATCAGCTGCGCCACGCCTGCCAAATCCAGGCTAGGCAGGGGGCCGGCGGGGGGCGCGGCTCCGGCCGCCGCCGCGGGGGCGGGGGCGGCGGGGGAGGGCGAGGGCGGTGCAGCAGGGGCGGGGGCCGGGCGCTTGGTGGGGTGGTTGCCGCCGCCGAGGTCGAGCTTCTTCAGCTGGTCGCAGATGCCGCGGGCCGCGTCGTCCTGTGGACCCGCATGGCGCGGCATGGAGGGCGAAGGTGAGCGTTTTGGGGCGAGGCGCTGATGACACCGGGCCAGTCGCTCCGGCGGCGTCGCGCAAGCGGGGCACGCATCGGGCCTGGACCGGCTGATGGCAGTCGCACTTGTGCACAGCATTCGAGGAATATCACAGATGGTTTTGTATAAGTGAGAGTGAAAGGTCCACTCACATACACGTCCGCGGCATCGTCACATCGCGCTTCGGCAACGCCGCCTGCCGCACACCCGGTGAGGGTTTGCAGGTCCACAGCTGCGGTGCAAAAGAGATGAGATAATCATCAGTGAGCCACATAGAAGCCCAAACACATAGGGGGAGCGCACAGGAAGCGAGGATGGAAGAGCGCGCGGCTCAAGGAGCCCTTACGCTTCCGTGACGACTCATATAGAGTGCTATAAAGCTCCAATTCATGCTACGCACCGTGCGGGTCGAAGCTGGACTGTGTTGCGACCATGCTGAGAGGATCGCCTCGGCGGTGTAGATGGCGCCCCTGTCAGGGGAACGCCTTGCAACCACGCTTCCAAGTCGGCGGTGAAGGGGTTGCTGAGGGTCAGCAACGTGCCGCAGACGACGCGCGTCCCGGGCCAAGAACGGCCGGCGGGTGTGACCGGCAGTGCCGCGGGTGCCTTGAGTGGAGGCATGTGATGGGACCAGAGGCGCAGTGCTGGACTATCGCATGGTTTACATGCTACAGAACACTGGTCCCCAGGCGCGTTGCGTGGACACAACCACTACTGTCGCAATCCCGCATGCATTTCATGCCCGTCTGTGCCCCCCCCCAAAAGGCTTCATTTCGAAATGCCTGTCAGCGCAGCTTATTAGGGCCCACATATGTTGGACCCATGCTGAAGAGTGGTTTTCAGACGCCCTGGAACTCCATCGCCCGCCCACCAACCGCTGTGCCGGCGCCCATTGCCGGTCAAGGCAGCTCGGCGACTGACTTGTCCGATATTTGCAGCCTATGGAAGGATCAAGCTTTTACCCATGGTATCGCTGTAAGCCTCGCCCACAGATCTTGAAACTCTCCTGCATAATGCTCCCATTAAAAATCCCGCCTCAGAGCAAGCCAGTCCCCGCCAGCTGCCCAGCCGTTCGTGCCGAACAATGCAATCCATGCCAGTCCAGGAGGCTGGGAGGGAGCACATGCTCAGCAGCGCAGCCGCGCCGCAGCGCGCCCTCGCTTTACGCCGGGCACGCGTCGCGCCGAGGCCGCAGGACGCACGGCCGCCCCTGCCGCCGCGACCGCCGGGCGCCCGACCGCGCGCCCTGCCCACGCGCCTGCCTATTGGCCACCTCCGCCCCTTAGTCCGAATCGAACTTGTAGCTGAAGGTGGCGTTGGAGTCGATCTGGCCGCCCCTGTAGCTGCCGCGCTTCTTCTTGGTCTTCTCGTGCCTGAAGTCCTTGCCGCGCACCGCACCAAGCACCTGCTGCGCCTTGAAGCCCCAGCCACTGCAAGGGGAGAACGAGGGGTCCGGGTTGAGGGGGGCCGGGTTTGGCGGTGTCGGTCAGGACTCGGGGTGCGGGGCAGGCGCAAGCGAACAGTGCAGCATGCGGGCGACACAGCGGCAGGGGCGTGCCGACCCTCAAACCAGCCGCGCTCAAACCTGCTGCCGCTCGGTGTGCAGTGGGCCCCTGGCACGCAGAGCGCGGGGTGCGAAGCCCCAGCCGATGCGATCAGCGGCCGCACCTCTGGCCAAAGGTGTCCTCGTAGTGGTTGCTCATGCTGCCCTTCTTCCCCAGCCACTCCTCGTCGTTGACCCGCTTGAACGCCTTTGCGCCCGTCGTGTCGCGGCCCCCGCTCGCGCCGGCGCTCGCGCTCTTGGCGGTGCCATTGGCGGGGGTCTCGGGCTTGTCGGCGCCGTTGGCAGGGGTCTCGGGCTTGGCGGGGGTCTGGGGCGTTTGCAGTTGCGAGGGAGTTAGTGTCAGACATTTACGGGTGCTGGCTGGAAAGGGAGTGCGCCGGGGCGCCAGACGGAGGCACCGCAGCTGGACCGGCGCAGCGCCCCCGTGCCGATTGGGGCATCGCGGTGCGCCGCAGCCCCAAAGCATTAGGCGAGGATCGGCTTGCCGTCGTTCAACAAGAGCGTGGGCGCACCCGCCACCACAGCTGCCTTACCTTCTTCTCCTGGCCGTCTTCATCAGAGTCGCTGCTGCTGCTGTCGTCGCTGCTGCTGCTGCTGTCAGCCTTGGCGGCTTTGGTGGCAGGCTGGGCCGGCGCATTCACCTTTTTTGCGGCGGGCTTCTCCTCCTCGTTCTCCGACTCGCTGCTGCTGCTGTCGTCGCTGCTGCTACTGCTGTCCGCCTTAGCAGCAGGCTTCACCGCGGGCTTGTCGGCCGGCTTTGCAGCAGGAGCCACTGGCTTCTTGGCGGCGGGCTTCTCCTCCTCGCTTTGCGAGTCACTGCTGCTGCTGTCGTCGCTGCTGCTGCTGCTGCTGCTGTCCGCCTTGGTAGCAGGCTTCGCCGCAGGCTTGGCGGCAGGCTTTGCAGCAGGAGCCGCCGGCTGCTTGGCGGCAGGCTTCTCCTCCTCGCTCTCCGAGTCGCTGCTGCTGCTGTCGTCGCTGCTGCTGCTGCTGCTGTCCGCCTTGGTAGCAGGCTTCGCCGCAGGCTTGGCGGCAGGCTTTGCAGCAGGAGCCGCCGGTTCCTTGGCGGCAGGCTTCTCCTCCTCGCTCTCCGAGTCGCTGCTGCTGCTGCCGTCGCTGCTGCTGCTCTCCTTTGCATTGGCAGCGGGCTTGGCGGGCACCGCCGCCGCCTTGACCGGCGCCGGCACCACTTGCTTCTTGGCGGGCGGCTGTTCGTCGTCGCTGCTGCTGCTGTCATCGTCGCTGCTGCTACTGCTGTTGACAGGCTTGGCAGCAGGCTTGGCAGCAGGCTTGGCAGCAACAGGTTTGGCAGCACCAGTGTTGGCAGCCACGGCCTGCTTCTTGGCGGCGGGCTTCTCCTCGTCGCTGTCCGAGTCGCTGCTGTCATCACTGCTGCTGCTGCTGTCTGCCTTGGCGACAGGCTTGGCGGCTGTCGCGGCCGCCTTGGACGGCGCCGGGTTCGTGGCGGCCGGCTGCTCATCTTCGCTGCTGCTGCTGTCGTCGCTGCTGCTGCTGCTGCTGCTGCTGCTGCTGCTGCTGGCCGCGGCCTTGGCGGCTGCGTCGGCGGCGGGCTTGGCGGCCGCTGCCGGCTTCTTCGCAGCGGGCTTGGCAGCTGGGGCCGGCTCCTGTGCAGCAGGCTGCAGCTTCTTAAGGCTGACATCACTGCCGCAGCCGTCATTGGCCGCAGCCTGCTTCGCCATGCGTGCCTCGCGCCGCGCCAATATCTTGGCCCGGCGCTTATCCTCCCTGGCTTTCTCTAGCGCCTCCCTCGCCGCGATCTTTGCCTCTTTCGCCGCCTTGCGCTCTGCGCGCCGCTCCTTGCGCTTCGCCTTTATCTCGGCGTTGGTCAGCGGCACCGCACCCTCCCTTTTTGTCGCCAGCCGGGCTGCGCTCTTCTCCCTTTTCTTGGCTGCCTTCTTCTCCTTCTTGGCCGCCTTTGCCAACTCCTTCCTCTGCTTCTTGGAGAGCTGTCAGTCAGGATTGCAGGGCAGCCAGGCGAAAGGGCGCAGGGATGAGGTACGGCATGAGCGCGGCGCGCAGCCAACCTTCGTCGCAGGGCGGCAGCAGCAGCGGCGGCAGCGGGAGTGCAGCGGCGGTCGCATTGGCACGGCAACTCCCAGACGGTAGGCGGCAGGCGAACAGCATGCTATATGAACACACAACAAGCTTTTAAGGCGCGCTTGTCCTTAGCATGGCTGCGCCGCCGTCACGACGATTGATCGCAAATCACCTGGGGTCCTCCGGGACTCTCTGGCCCCCGCTTGCGCTTTTTATCCGCAGCCATTACTACTGAGCAAGGTACGAACAGCCTGACGGCCTGGGTGCGAGCGGTGTCCGGGTCCGCGACGCCACGGGAGGTCTCAGATGTCTGATTTTGGCAGGCTAATAGACCATCAAGGAACTTTTTGAATGACCGTGTCCCACTCACGCGCAAAGAACTGCTGACGGCCGCCTCCAGAAACCACCGGGCGGCTGCTGCGTTGCACGCCTGCACCGGAATGAAGCATGCGCAGCACCAGTCTGCTCATCTCCTGGAGCACTGCAGGATGCCCAGTTGTCTGATGTCATGACAGGGCTTCTACATGATCTTGATTATGCAAAGTGCCTGTTTGCCGCAGGCATGAGGGTTGCTCGATGAGGATTGGCGGGTGTGCAAGCAAACATTCACAGGGGGAGTCCAGGCCCTTACCATGTGCGGTGTTGGCTCTTGCCGACGTTATTGGACTCACGAGCTGTGACTTGCAAATACCTCAGATATGATTGTGCATGCACCTGTGCGTGACACATGCAATACCGATCTCATGTCACTGCCTCTCCATCACTTTGCTGAATGGAAAACAAATCAACGCTGGCTGCATGCAACACATTTGGGGTGCATGCTTGCAGCCTGGTGCTGTGGGGTCGCCACAACTAATCACACAGACGACGCGTTCAGGCGCGGCGGTTACCGCCCAGCACAAGGGCGGTGAGAAAGTTATGAAAATTGCAGGTGGTGGGCAACCCGAATACGGGAAGATCTCTCACAAGATTTTGGGGTGACGCAATGGACGGGCCTGAATAGAACCCGTGCAGTGACAATGCGACTGGTCAAACGGGCGATGACAATGAAGTCAGCAGCACATTTAGCAGCAGATGGGTTCGAGCATTAACGTGAAGAAGCACTACCTCGTTTGGCATGACATGTGCCGTTGAGCTGAAGTACTGTGGCTCTGTGTGCAGAACAGGCGTCACTTTGTCACCGCCCCAATCACTCTGCGCCCCGTCAAGGCACACCGTGCGCACCTGCCCAAGTTCGCATCGAGAAGCGTGCTATAGCGCTGTTGAAACCCCACAAACATACCGCAGATCAGTGTCGTGCTTTCGATGAGAGCCGTCAAGCACAGCGTCTTTAGCTCCCGCGCCGCACAGTTTCGCCCAGTCTTTCGCAATACCTGTGGCTTGAGGACTATGGCGGCTGCAGGAGCAGGTGCGAGGCGCGTCTTGATCGGCGTCGGCGCTGCGTTGGCGCTCGCCGCTGCCGGAGCAGCGAGCGGCCAGCGCTCAGCTGGCGCCGCCGCTCCCCATGACAGCTGCCTCAGCGGCGGCGGCGATGCTTCTGACATGGAGGCAAATGCATTAAACGCAGGCCAGCAGCAGCAACAGCAGCAGCAAGAGGCTCCGGCTGCAGCATGGTGAGTGACGACCAAAGGCGCGCCCTTCACCGGCACCACCTTGCTGTGTTTGAAGCAGAAAAGCCACCTCGCATAAGCTTCATTGTTGGAAACCCCTTTCTAATCAAGGAAACTTGCCATTGAATAACTCTTTTTGCAGCTGAATTGATTCATGCCCCTTTTCAGACATCGACATATGCCCTCTCTACCTGCAGGTCCCAGCGCACCATCTCGCTGCCGCAGCACCGCCGCGGCTGCCACATCATCACCAACAAGATCTACGAGGCGGTACCTGAGATTGCGGAGTACGAGGTGCGGGCCGGAGATGGCGCGTGCGGCGCCCGCGTCCACGCGTCGCACACACCGGTGACGGCTGGTTGGCACCGAGCCTCACAGGCCCCCTGTTTCAGAACCTTCGGTCAAATCCGCATGCTCAGGCCCATCAGAGGCCCTGCGACCCCGAGTCTGCCCCCTCTGCCCGACAACGTGCGCCCTGCTGGTCCCGCTGACTCACTCCACCAGGTGGGCCTGGCCAACATCTTCATCCTGCACACCAGTGCGTCACTCACCATAAACGAGAACGCGTCACCAGACGTCCTGCTCGACCTCAACGTGAGCTTAATACGATCAGTACACATCGGCCCTTTACACATCGGCCCTGCAGTGCAGGCAGTCCACCTATTCCAGACAGCACATGCAGCGCAGGCAGTCCAGGTAGCAACCGAGCAGCCTCTGGCTTTGCTGGCAGTACCATAGGAGCGAGACCGTAATGGGGCCGGTTGATTACTGGTCGCTGCAACGCTGGTGTTGCATCGGCCTGCCCGAGTCCGCCGAGCCCAGCAGCCATGCCATTGTGGCTCTCGGCCATGGTTGCAGGATGCGAGTGCCCCCGCGTCCGTGCTGCACCCCTACTGCAGGACTCCCTGGACCGGCTGGCGCCAGAGGGCAAGATGTACCGCCATGATGATGAGGGGCCTGATGACATGCCCGCACACGTCAAGTCGTCGCTGATGGGGGCAAGCCTAACGGTGTGTGTGTGTGTGTGTGCATGTGTGTGTGTGCGTGTGTGTATGTATGTGTGTGTGTGTGTGTGTGTGTGTGTGTGTGTGTGTGTGTGTGTTGGGAAAGGGTGCATGGGGGACACGTGCCCCAGGGGCGCCGGGTGCGCACCAGCTTGCGCAAGGGACACGGGTGTTGCCCTGTGCCACCGCATAACTTCGATCTGCGCTCCTTTGTGACCGCTTCATTAAAATGAGGCGGCGAGTCACCTTCTCGCTCCCCCTCGCGCCCGCCGCAACAGGTGCCCATCTCCAAGGGGCGCCTAGCATTGGGCACCTGGCAGGTGAGTAGGCGCCCCGATGGGGCGCTGCAACGCCCGCTACTTTGCTGCCTTGACCTTCTGCGCCCACTGCCGCATCATGCGGCTGAGATACAGTTGTGCATCAACATGTGCACACGCTCTTGTCCATGGTGGGTGGCATCCATGTAGCCGCTGGTGTACACGCTTAGAAAGCCGCACACACGCACATCCACACACATGTGCACACACGCACACACACACACACACACACGCACACGGCCCAGGGCGTGTACCTTAACGAACACCGGGATCGCGGTGGGTCACGCAGCATCGTCATCACCCTGCAGGTGTGTGGGCCGTCACAATTGGGGGGTGTACAATTGATCTCAACCAACCGCTGCTGCTGCACGTGCACCTCGCCTCATCAGCGCCGCAGGCGCATGCGTCAAGGCCGCAGACTCGCCATGCCATGTGCGGCTGGGCCCCAGGAGTGCGGGGCAGGCGTGCTTGCTTTTCTGATGTCAGCATGCCCGCTTGGTGCAGGGCACGCTGTCAGCTGCCCCGCACACACTCTGTTATTGCACCCAACAACACGCGCTCCCTGGCCTCCCTGACAATCGTGCGCTGCCGACGCAGGGGCAGAAACGCGCCGACGGCCGCGCCTATGGGCGCTACCGCTGAGCTGGCGCTCGCGTTGCTCTTGCGCTGCATTGCTTGACAAATTGTGAACTGTGCAATGTGCTCTGGTGTAACGCCTGGACAATGCTGGTTTTACAAGAACAGATGGTGTTTGTAATTGCGCAGCTGTGACGGCGCTCTGAGGCATGGAGGACGCCTGCGGCGTATCTGTTGTGGCGGCAACGGGATTGGGTGCGGGTGGGCGACCGGGGCCGTACTTGCCTGCACCAGAACAAAAATATGACTAATCAATCTGCCGGCGTGAGCGCTGCCGCTGCTGCCTGCAGGCAAACGCGCTTCACAAGAGCAGGCAGAGCGGAAGCAGTGCCGGCAGGTGCATTGCCTGCCCCCACGCCTCGCCAGCTGTGCGTGCATTAGCCCGGCAATAGGGGGGTTGGGGCTAACAAAGCAGCCAAGCATGGGCTAAACATGAATGCGTGAAAATGTACGTGCGCATGAGCCGTGGTTTTTCGTGATACTTGATGCATGTTCGTGTCTGTGCTGCATGTGCATGCAATTCGTCCTAGGCTGCTGCGCTTTGCGCAAGCACGACAGTGTGTGGCCCATCCCTTCTCTTGGGCTGCTAGTTCGCGGGCGGCAGACAGCAAAACCGCCATCCGTCGCGCCAAGCTTGCGCAGAGTGGCGAAAGAACTAAACGGGATTCTCAAACCTCGGCCAGCCTACCCCAAACCCCTGACGAGGCGCATGTTCGTCAAATGTTTGCGAAGGTTCATCCCGACAGTCCGAGAGAGTGCAGTGCAACCGCGGCCGCCTGGTCTCGCCGACCAGGGCCTGTCCAGATTAGCAGCAGATCATGGTGGATTCTCGAGGCAATTGCGAAAAAGCTCCAGGCGCCCGCGATGCCGCCGGCGTGCCAGCCTACCCATCCCGCAATGTTCCCACTGCAAACCCCTCAAGCCGACAGACAGCCGGCACGACGCTGGCTCAAACCCAGCCCGCCTGCTACGGCGGCTGCGCCTGCCGCGTGTGCTTAGACGCGACACGCTGCTGCACGGCGTCGACAAGTGATGTCACCACGGGCATCCAAGGCCACGGCTGGACGTAAAAGTTTGCCATCTGCTCCGGCCCGAGGACGACGGTGTTGAGCAGCACCATGACGGGGACGAGGTTCGTGTTGTACAGCGCCAGCAGGCGGGCGGCTTCCTCGGCAACCTCGGACTGGTGCTCGTAGTCGCCCGGCGCAGCGAACAGGGCGCTGGCCGCGAGGACCTGTCGCCGCCGGCGCAGCTCCGCCTCCTGGCCGCGCCACCACTTCCCTGCCACGTCGAGCAGGAAGCTCTGGGGGCGGGAGGAGGGGAATGCGCGGGAACATATTGCAGTCTGCTCGCGTATGCAGATGCGTTACGAGGTGATGTGGCCAGCCTCAGATGTGAGCAGGGATTATTTTTGCTTAGTAAATGGTGTCGTGTCGTGGATGTTGATAGTCAGTGGAGGTTGTTGGTGTGATTGTAAGTGTCAAATAAGGGCCGGGGCTCGCACATGTATCGTTTCATGTATTGGCAAAGCGTCGGCTGGCAACTGCGCCTTATTATCTGGGCAAGCAGGCCTCAAACACAGCTGAATGGCGCGCCCTGTTGACTGAGCCGTCATGCACCACGGCGGCGCTGTCAAGGCAGCTAGCAAATCGCCTGGCGGCCTCCCGGCTGGGCACTGGAGTGCGGGGGTGAAAGGGCTCACCTGCAGGGGGCCGAGCTTCATGCTTGTCAGTGCGCGTCCCCAGACAGTAGGCGGCGCCTCCGCCGCCTCGCCAGTGGTGAGCTTCTCGCACAACAGCTCGAAATACCTGTTGATGGATGTGTGTTTGTGCGAGGAGGTTGGCAACTTGCAGACCGATCGTCAGCGTTTTGCATTCTGAACTACATGACGATGGGTTGTTGCACAGGACGACCCGCAGGTTAGCGTTACATGTGCAGTATAAGCCATAGCTTGATTACACAAGCCCCAGCAGATACTGCAACACGGCATGTGACAGGGATTGTACAGAGGTTTGAAGAAAACTGTGCCGGCTGTCCGAAGCACAGGCCGAGAATTCACCAGAGGTGTGAAGGGGCGTCGCAGATGTACAGGCTGATGTTCTTTGCGCCCATCTCATGCAGTTGCTGCGTCGCAGGGTTTGGGTGGTGCAGGAGTGTTGCTTGTGCCGGTCCATGCGATGATCTGAGCTAGTATTGAGCCACGACATGGTTGGCATGGACGTGTGAGTGGCGCCGCACCCAACAGTACAGAGGCATGCGAGAGTCGTGCACAGCATGACAGGCTCGCATCGCAGGCCTGAGCCTGGGAGATACACAAGCGTGTGCAGTGATGAAGAGAGCGTCACAACTTACCCGCGTCAGCTCGCCCCGCTCGGACTCCTCCAGCCCCTGCTGCTGCGCTAGAAGCGCCACGCCGTGCACAGCGTCGCGCCACCAGGCCGCAAACTCGCGCTTGCCCTGCGCCACCCCCACGGCCGCGATGATGCTGCTCGACGTGCGGGTGGTTGGGGGAAGAGCGGGGTGTCAGCGGAGTGCGAACAGGTATGAGCGAGGGCAAGGTGGCTTGTATGGATTGTCGTGCAGGAGCAGGGACAGGTGGGCCGCCTCACTGTGCCGCCAGAACAGGGCAAACCACAGAAGCTGTTGATGTGGGAACATGAACTAGGTTTTGCACCACAGATCCCAGCCAGGGCATTGCCAGCCAGCTGGGATGCCTACTACCAGCCTCACCTGCGGATGAAGGCGCTTGTCGTCGTCCCAACCGCCCCAGCTGGCGGCGCCTCGCCAACCGCAGTCGCTTCTGCTGGCGGCAGCTCTGCCTCCGCCGCCTGCAGTGCCCCCTCTGACATCCGGCTGTCGCTCTGCCCAGGTCCGTTCCAGCTGCTCGGAAGGGAGCCACTGCTGGTCTCGCTTGGGCACGCAGCCATCAGACCGGCGCTTCTTGGGCACGCCGCCTGCTGCGTCGCGCCGCCGCTGCTGGGGCCGCCTGCGGCGTCGCCAGAGAGCATGACGCTGTCGCGGCCGGCGGCCTCGCTGCTGGTCTGGCCACGCTCGAACTTCTGTCGTCCTTCGCTCCCTGCTCCCCACCCCTCGGCCGACGAGGCCAGCCGCGCGCTTGGCGCCGCTGCCGCGGCGCCCGGCCCTGCCGCGGGGCGCGCCTGCATCGTCGCGGCCAGCCGCGCAACCGCCGCATCGACGCCCGCTTCCCACTCGCCATCAGCCCCTGGCTCGCCGCCGCCACCATCGGCACTGTCGTCACCGGGCCCGGCCATCGCGCCGGACTGCCGCAGCGCGCTGCTGACGGCGATGAGGGCCTCTAGCCATTCGACGTGGGCGCGGGCTTGGGTGTTGCGCGCGCGCTCCGCCGCCAGCTCGCGTCTCTGTTTGTGCAACTCCTTCTCCAGGTGCACTGCAGAGATCGGCGCAAGTTGCGGTTTGCGGAGTTTGGATCGGGCTGTGCGCGGCCGGTCGCCCGGCGGAAGCGTCTGCAGTGACGCTGCTGGCAGATCTGGGAAATGGCATGCGGCGCTGCCAGGCGAAGCCTGCGTGCCGCGCCCACGCCCTGGCCCCACGTGATTGTGATAGTATAGACAAAGCCACTTTGCCGCTGCGCCACCTATTCGGCGGGCAATTGGGCCCCCAAACCCGTCTTGGAAGTCGCATGCCGAAGCCGGCACCCACACTCCAAGCGTCACCGGCCACCGGCTGACCGCCGTGCCCAATCTGGGCCCGCACGGGCAGCAGTGCCGCACCTAACAACCTTGAAGGCTGTAAACGCTTTGGTGGCACCGGCATACCGAGCTGAGCGAGCCCGGGAACGGCGCTGATCGCCTATCAGACACCGCGAGGACCCATCGCTCGAAGTACTTTCCGCAGTTGGCCGAGCCCCCGCTCCCGAGTGACATGAAAATATATTGTCTGCAAATGGTTTTCGTGTGCTGCCACACCTGAACCACGGCGCAGCTTTCACCACTACCGGGGTTAGAGTCCTGCCGCTTCTGGTTCCAGATGCGACTTCTGTGGTGTGCTTATGCGCCGTTTCCGGCACTAGGGTGCCCTATGCTGTCAGATTGACATCCTAGCAGATATATCCACTAAAAATGATGACTTACAGCGGTGCAGACCCGGCAGGTGCGGGCACCCAAAGAGCATTGAGGGGAAGCCGCCCGCTCGTGTGGGGTTAGCCGCGGCAGGGATGCACCGTGCTGTGTAAGGTGCTTTGAATCTTTGACCTTTCTTGACGTTGCATTGCGTGCTGTTTTCTTTCGAGGATCTGGGCAGCATTGGCCATGGGCTCAAGCGTACAGTAAGCAAGGATCGCTGCACAAACAAGGGGTCATGCTGGCACACATTTGGGTTTGTATGTTTCAGGACTCTCATGCAAATTTTCCTTGGGGTTGGTGGTCCTATCTGCCGCCTATCGTGCCTAATTTGCTGCCCGCCAAAGGGATGCGCAGTCTGAGTCGGACGCCAACGTTTGACTTTGCTGAAGGCACCCCCCTTCCGTGGTGCTTCGGCAGGTGTAAGATGAGGAAGCTGTATGTGGCTTGCTGATACGATCTGGACGCCAACGCGCGGCCAATGACTGCCCTCAGGCTCAACACAAAGCTGGGTCGAGTCACTTCAGGCCAGCCGGGCATGAGATCACTCACGAGGCTGTACTGTAGGTGCGCGCTGACAGCATTAACCTCAGTGTTTGTACCATACATTACTGAGCTTGAAAGCGTGTATCACTGGGCACGCAGCGTCGCATGCAGCAGGGCCAACGCTGCTTCGGCCCGTGTATCATTCAAAATACCATGACCTTGGAGGCTGCTCCATCCAGTGGAAAGATCAGCACACTCCATGAGCTGGTGGAGGTGCGGTATCGGTTGCGGTGCAGCATCGCTGCTGTGCAGCACTCGAACCAGCGCCGTCCCCAGGGCGTGCCCAAAACAACGCACCTGGGTCTACACGCTGAACTCAGCATGTATAGATGGGCTCGTGCGTTGGCTACGAATCAGAGCACGCGCTTGGTGGTGTAGCAGCCGCATCGCCCGGAAAGGCTGCTGCGTTCCTGCATGCTAATGGAGGCACCAGAGGCTGCCCGTGCGTTTGACACCACACTCCGCGTGCCCCGCGCTTTCCGCCAACACCCAGGCCACCCACGATGGCTACCTGTCGCGAGCCGCAGCGGAGGAGGTGGAGGAGGTGGAGGTGGCCGGGGCCGGCCGGCGCCTGAGCTGCTGGCCGCCGCTGCTGTCGACGTTTTCGCGGGTGACGCGGCTCGTGCTGCGTGGCCACTTCCTGACGGGGCTGCCGCACAGCGTGGGCAACATGGCATGCCTAGAGGTAGGCACACGGGCTGTGCCACCATGCATGTGCCACCATGCATGTGCCGCCCTGCATGCGCCACCCTGCATGCGCCGCCTCGCATGCGCCACCCAGCACCTGCCCAGGCAGCTGGGGCGTCTGCTCCTTGGGCACTCGGCGGGTTTGAGCATGTTTGTGGCAGCTGCAGGTGCACGCATGCGCCGCGAAGACCATGCTGCAGCGCCACAGCAGCACGCGGTCGCCACCTCATGCATGTTTTGTCGAAGCTGCGAGGCCGCCCCTCGCATATTCTTGCAGGTGCTGGCTGTGACGAATGGGACCCTGCTGGCGCTACCTGCTGAGATGGCGCAGCTCTCGCGGCTGCGGGACCTGGACCTGCACAGGTTGCTTGTCTGTGTTTCTGCACGCGCGCCATCTTGTGTGCATGTGCGCGGGCCCGCGTGCGTGCGTGTGTGTGTGTGTGTGTGTGTGTGTGTGTGTTTTGGGCGTTTATACCTGAACATACACATAAGGGATGTGCTTGCGCTTCTGCATCCCTGACTGCAAGCCAATTTGCTCAAGTGCGAGCACACATTCGCCACGTGTTTGCTTGGTCTGTTGTGTCCACGTCCCGGCTTGCATGTCCACTCCACTTGATGATCTGTGAGACGACCGGCCGCACCTCCTGCGGCCCCACCCCATCAGGAACGAGCTGGTCATGTTTCCGCACCACCTCTGCGCCCTCACGGGCCTTACAGTGAGCGTCTGCGTGACGCCCTTGCCTTGCTTGCCGGCGGCGCGCGCCCATGCGGGGCCCGGCCTGCCATGCTGCTGCCCATAGCCCGATTGCAGTTACTCCCATGAGCCGCTGTACCGCCCAGCAGTCAAAGCCAACCGCAGCCCCCGCGGCCTCGTCCATCACATCGACCCCTTCCTGAACCACCCCGCGCGGCGCCGCCACCGCCTCCTCAGTCCCTGAATCTCATGGGCAACAAGCTCACCAAGCTCCCGGACGGCTTCGGCTCCCTGGTGAACCTGAGGTGGGCGGACGAACAACACCCCTGCCCACCCGGGTCTGGCCCACTTGCAGGAAGCGTTTGACACGCTATGCTCACAGCCCGCAATGCTTGGAAGCACCCCAGAGCTATTGACTGAACGTGCTGGCGACGCGCACGTCCCCCCCCTGGCGGACCCCTAGGAAGCTGGGCCTGAAGTCCAACGCGCTGGCGCAGCTTCCGAGCAGCTTCACGCGGCTCACTCGCCTGGTGGAGCTATTCATAACCGACAACGAGCTGTCGGAGCTGCCGCAGGGTGCGCACCCGCAGGGGGTGCTGCGTGCGCTGTCCTAGATGGGACACGCGCTGGGAGTGCTGAGGGTGACCTGGGTCTGATCAAAGTCCTGAGATGCGGAAGTTTCTCAACACCCTCTGCATGTGCTTATTGATACCCCCAAGCCTCGATCCATTAACGCCAGCTGCTGGCGTCCCTGCTGCAGCAGCAATTGCACACTGGAACTGCACTCACGCCATCCAAAGTTTGCGGCACCACCCCCTGAGTTTTGCGCACTACGCCGACACCTCACCGCGCGCCGCGAACCGCCCAGGCTTCGGCGCCCTCGAGTCCCTCGTCAAGCTGCAGGCCTCGTTCAACCCCTGGACCTCCCTGCCCCTTGACCTCCTGCGCCTGCCGAAGCTCGAGCTGTTCCGCCTCGCAGCAGGCACCCTCCCCGCCTGGCCGGAAAGCAGCGGCGCCGACGGCGCTGGTGGCGCTTCCACGCTCCCGTCCCTGGCGTGGTGCTCTCTCGGCGGCAACCCCGCGGCCGCGCGCGTGCCGAGCACCGAGGGCGTGCGGGCGGTGGACGTGTCGGACCTGGAGATAGACAGGACCAAGCCGCTGGGGGAGGGCGCGTCGGGGGAGTGCTTCCGAGGTGCGGGCGCGAGTGCATTTGTCCAACACAAAGGCCGCGTCCGGTCTGAATCAATCAGACGGAGTTGATTGCAGGCGGCTGGCTTACCGCCAGTTGCGGATGTTGAAGGGATGTGTGCGGCTTGCTCGTGCTCATCCCTGCGTGTAGTCATTTCCAATGCCTGAGCTGTCAACCCTCAACCACGCCTGTACCCGCAGCCAAGCTTGACGGAGATGATGTTGCTCTGAAGATGTTTTTGGCGGAGGTCTCCCCAGATGGCAAGGCGCAGGTGAGAGTGTGGGAAAGGGCTTGTGTGGGTTTGGGTTTGGGTATGGGACGGGTGTGGGTGTGGGTGTGGGTGTGCGTGCGCCTGCGCACATTTTGTGGGATCATCAGGTGACCTCACATCGGCCCTTTATGATATTATGTACCAACACAGTTGCAGCGAGCGGGGTCTGCCCGGCTGCGTCCGCATCGCCCGCTTGGACAGGGTGACGGCAGCCAGGACAAGACAGGCCACAGCACACAATTCGATACCAAAATGAAAAGAAAACAATGTCTGACATACATATACAATAAAGTACATCTGAAGTGATGGGGCCCACCCACTTGTATCTTGATCCTAGGGTAACACACAACCTTCTTTGCGACAGCAGCAGCATCGGGTGACACCAACCCGTATGGCCCGGGTCCTCAAATGCATGTCCACCCGCCCGTCCGTTCCGCGTGCCCCCTCACGAGCCGCCTGCCCCCCCCTGGCCTGCAGGACGAGGTGGCCATCAGCTGCAGCCTGGACCACCCCAACCTCACGCGAGTCAGGGCCCTGGTGTTTGACCGCCGAGACCGCTGGCCCCGCGCCACTGACGCCGCCCCCGCCGCAGCCGGAGGCTCGCCGGGAGTGGCGGC